TCAGGTAAGATGTTTTAAAATTGATATTAAAATGGACAGCTTTATTTCATACCAAAAAAAATTTTAAAGGAAAAGGATGTTTATAAATAATGAATTGAAAACAGTGTAATTCCTAGTTAGCACAGTGGTGGAATTTGCGCCACATGTGGTTAGTGTGTTTGTCAATCATAGTGATGAGAGTGAATGAGAGTTCGAGTGGGCCCTGAGAGTTTTGATGGGAGCTATATTTGTTCCATTCCTCATAGATCAAAGTATAACGTTAACTTTTGGTTGTTGCTTTTTCTTCAGTGGGAATCAACACTTAAGAATTCATAATTCCACAGATTATCAAGTTTAATAATACATAAAAATTAAAATTAACAGGATATGATGTGAGCTTAAAGTTTCAAAGTACTATAAATTGTCATTTCTTTAACTATGATAATATAACTTTATGTGACTTATTCTCATTTGCAGAGTAGAGTATGAGCCTTTGGTTGCATGCTCTTCTTGTTTAGATGTCTCTGGGAAAACTGCTTTGAATCAAGCTATATTGCAACTTGGAGGAATTACTGTAAACAACTGGACAGAAGAATGTACTCATCTTGTCATGATATCAGTTAAAGTTACCATTAAAGTAGGTTGAATGTCTTGTTATGATGGTAAAATAAGTTCTGTCAATTTAAGCTTAGTCATTCACTCACTGTACACAGACTTTTTTAAAAATTTAAAACTATTAGAACTGTTAACTGTAGATTTTTATGTACCCATTCCATGTCTTTATATACCATTTAGGCTTTAATAGCTCGTCAGATAACCTGTTTATTATCTGAGACAAAGAAAGCACATAAAATTAGATTTTAGATTTTGATTTAGCATTTTAGAAAATGATTGATGATATCCTTTCACCAAGAAGTTTATTATAGTGTATAGTTTACGTTTTCGGTCTAAAAGCAAAGCAACTAGAGATTAACTACCAGTCTTCAAAGTTAGCATCTCATGTCTCTTCTCTCAAGTTGTTTTCCTCCAGTCTGGTACTCTTGTCATGAACTCATGCTCTCTTATGTAATATTTATTTGATTTGAGGTCCTAA